GTCAGAAGAATAGGTATTAGTTCTTCTTTAAATGTTTGGTAGAATTCCCCTGGGAAGCCTTCTGGCCCTGGACTCTTTTGTTGGGAGATTTTTGGTTACTGATTCAATTTCATTGCTGGTTATGGGTCTGTTGAGGTTGGTTTTTTTGCTTGTTTCTTTTTTATTTCTTCCTGTTTCAGTTTTGGTAGTTTATATGTTTTTAGGAATTTATCAATTTCTTCCAGATTGCCTAACTTGCTGGCATATAATTGCTCATAATATTCTCTTATAATTTTTTGTATTTCTTTTGTGTTGGTTGTGATCTCTCCTCTTGCATTCATAATTTTATTTATTTGGCTCCTTTCTCTCTTCTTTTTGATAAATCTGGCCAGAGTTTTACCAATTTTATTAATTCTTTCAAAGAACTAGCTCCTAGTTTCACTTATCTGTTCTGGTTTTTAATTTTGTACATTTATTTCTGCTCTGATCTTTATTATTTGCCTTCTCCTGCTGGATTTAGCATTTGCTTTTCCTTTTCTAGCTCCTTTAGGTGTAAGGTTAGGTTTTATATTTGAGTCTTTCCTTGCTCCTAGAGGAAAGCCTGTATTGCTAAATACTTCCCTCTTAGGGCTGCCTTTGCTGCCTCCCAAAGGTTTAGTGTTACTTTCATTTTCATTTGTTTCCATGTATTTCTTCTTAATTTCTTGGTTAACCCATTCTTTCTTTAGTAGGATGTTCTTAACCTCCATGTATTTGTGGTCCTTCCAATTTTTTTCTTGGGGTTGACTTCAAGTTTTATAACATTGTGGTCTGAACCTCTGCATGGTATGATCTCAATCATTTTGTACCTGTTGAGACCTGATTTGTGATCGAGTGTGTGATCGATTCTGGAAAGTATTCCATGTGCACTCAAGAAGAATGTATATTCTGCTGCTTTGGGATGAAATGCTCTGCATGTATTTGTTAAGTCCATCTGGTCCAGTGTGTCATTCAAAGCCTTTGTTTCCTTGTTGATCTTCTGCTTAGATGATTTGTCCATTGCTTTGAGTGGAGTGTTAAAGTCCCCTACTATTTTGTATTATGATTATCAATGTGTTTCTCTAATTTTGTTAATTGGTTTATATAATTGGATGCTCCTAAGTTAGGGGCATAAATATTTACAATTGTTAGATCTTCTTGGATAGACTCCTTTATTATGATATAGTGTCCTTCTTCATCTTGTAATAAGAGAAGTCTTTGGTTTAAAATCTAGTCCAGCTTTTGTTTGATGTCTATTAGCATAATAATTATTTTCCACCCCCTCACTTTCAATGTGGAGGTGTCTTTGGATCTAAAACGAGTCTCTTGTAAGCAGCGATAAGTCTTGTTTTTTTTTTTTAATCCATTCTGATACCCTATGCCTTTTGATTGCATTTAGTCCATTTACATTGAGAGTATTTATTGATAGATAAGAATTAAGGAACATTGTAATACCTGTAAATTCGCTGGTCCTTTAGATGGTTTCTTTCTAGTCTTTGTTGCCTTTGATCTCTATTTCTGCTCAGGGTCCCCTTTCACATTTCTTGCAGGGCTGGTTTAGTGTTTACGAACTCCTTTAGTTTTTGTCTGTCTGGGAAATACTTTATCTCTCCTATTCTGAATGAGTCTTGCTGGATAAAGTATTCTTGGCTGCATATTTTTCCCATTCAGCACGTTGAGTATTTCCTGCCACTCTCTCTTCAAGTTTCAGTGGACAGGTCTGCTGCTTATGTTTCTACCCTCATAGGTTAAAGACCTTTTGTCCCTAGCTTCTTTCAGCATTCTCTTTATCTTTGTATTTTGTAAGTTTCACCATGATATATCATGATGTTGACCTGTTTTTCTTGACTTTAAAGGAAGTTCTCTGTGCTCCTTGGACTTGAATGACAATTTCCCTCCCCAAATTAGGTAAGTTCTCAGCTATAATTTGTGCAAATAAACCTTCTGCCCTTTTCCCCCACTCTTCTTCTGGGACTATGATACGGATATTATTGTGTTTTATGGAATTGTTGAGTTCCCTAAGTCTACCTTAGTTATCTACTAGTTTTCTTTCCCTTTTTTCAGCTTATTTTACATAATTTTGTCTTCTATATTACTTATTCTCTGTGCTGCTTCTTTAATCCCTGTAGTGATTATACCCAGTCGGTTTTGCTTTCTAGGTATAGCATTTTTTTTTTTTTTCCAGCCTGGCTAGTTTTTAGGTCTTTTATCTCTGCAGCTAAGGTTTCTCTTGTGTCTTCTATGCTTTTCAAAGCCCAGCTAGTAGTCTTATGACTGTTGTTCTACACTCTTATTCAGGTTATATCTATTTTGAGCTAGTCCCTTGCTGTGATTTCTTCTTGACGTTTCTTTCAGGGTGAATTCCTCCATGTTCTCATTTTGGCTAAGTTTCTTTGTGTGTTTTGAAAGCTTGTTATGGTTCCTGCACCTGAGTGTAATGCTATATTAAAAAGGGGTCATACACTGTCCAGTGCCTGGCATTTCAGGAAGTGTTTCTGGTGTGTGCTGTGCGCATTCTGTTCTTGTGTGGCTGCTCTTTCCCACAGGTCAGTTGTCTGAAGAGTTCCTTCTTGCTTGCAGTGGGGAGTGTTTATATCGGTGTGCTTTGTTTTGCTTGTGAAAATAAGGCTGGGGAAAAAAGAAGAAAAAAATGCCTGGTCCAAAAAAAAAAAAAATGTCTGACTGTTTTGGTGGCAAAGGGGAAATTGGCACCACCCCAGCACAACAGCTCTTCTGTATTTTATCTTTGGCACATGGCTGGGATTTAAAACTCCAAATCTTAAAGGACCCACCACCCCATGGATCCACACCCTCTCCAGAGTAGAGCCTCGCTGCACCGTCTGGTGTCCTTTGTCCCAGAAAAATAGCCCCACACCTGCTCAGCATGCAGATGTATGGTGTAGAAGCGGAAAAGTAGGGGCGCCTCAGTGGCTCAGTCATTAAGTGTCTGCCTTCTGCTCAGGTCATGATCTCAGGGTCCTAGGATCGAGTCCTGCATCCGGCTCTCTGCTCAGCAGGGACTCTGCGTCTGCCCCTCCCCCTGCTCTCACGTGTGCTCTCAAAGAAAATCTTTTTTTTCAGTTTTATTTATTTGAGAGTGATCACAAGTAGGCAGGCAGGCAGAGGCAGAGGCAGCAGCAGACTCCCTGCTGAGCAGGAAGCCTGATACGGGGCTCAATCCCAGGACACTGGGATCATGACCTGAGCTGAAGGCAGACGCTTAACCAACTGAGCCACCCAGGTGCCCCAAATAAAATCTTAAAAAAAAAAAAAAGCGAAAAGCAGCGGCCAGGTTATCCACCCTCTGCACATACCTCTGTCCCCTGCTGATAAGGCCATTTGCTGGCACCTGCAAGGTCTTTTGTCCTTGGAGAGGCAATATACCCTCTTCCAAATGTAGTCCAGGAAGAGGAACACTAACTGGGATTCTACTGAAGAAAGGACCTATCCTTCCTCCCTCCTTATAAAAACTTACATCACTATGGACTATGGACTATAAAACATCTGCTTTACTTTATAGTAATGAACGGGTTTGAAGATTTTTGATAGATCTTATCAGATTGCCTTCAGAAATGATGTACAGATTTACACCCCCTCAGGTACTGCATGAGTTTGCCACCTTCCTACGCCCACACCAACAGCAATGGTGTATAAATAACAAATGTATTTGGTAAAAAAAAAAAAAAAAGATATCTAGTATTGTTTTTATTTGAATTTTATTGTCAACAGAGTGGAGCCTCTTACATATATTGACTATTCATTTTTTATCTTCCATCATTTTTCAATAGCATTGTACATTTTACCCTTGCCATCTGTGTGTATGTGATCTTTTATTTCCTGAGCATATTACCATACATGTAATAATTTATTTTTTTTAAAGATTATTTATTTGAGAGAGAGCACAAGCAGGAGGCAGAGGGAGAGGAGAAACATGCTCCCCACTGAGCAGGGAGCCCAATGCGGTGCTCCATCTCAGTACCTTGGGATCATGACCTGAGCCGAAGGCAGATGCTTAACTGACTGGGCCACTCAGGTGCCCCTAAATGTAATAATTTAGAATATATTTTCTCTGTTTGCTTTTTAACTTCGGTAATGAATGTCAATGTTAGTTTTGTACAACTGAATATACTGATGTGCCCCCTCTTAAATATGTGCTGTTGTAGAAAGTTCTTTCCCAAATAAAGAGAAGACACTCAACATGCTTTCTTTGATTTTTGTTAGGTCCAAATTTTTACATATATTTCTTTTATTCTTCTGGAATATATCCCACTATTTTCCAACATAAAGTATTTTCTATGTTTCAATACTCAACCCCAAATTTCAGGAATTCATATAGGTAGAATTTAAATCAGTGGGGAAACACACATATATATATATTTTTTAAAGATTTTATTTAGTTATGAGAGCCAGAGAGAGAGAGAGAGAGAGAAGCAGGCGCCCAAGGAGCAGGGAGCCCGATGCGGGACTTGATCCCAGGGCTCTGGGATCATGACCTGAGCCGAAGGCAGACACTTAACCATCTGAGCCACCCAGGCGCCCGAAATACACATATATTTTTACAAATGATGCAAACCACCATTTTGGGGGCAGGGGGACAGATTCCTATCTCATACTAGTTATAAAAATGGATTCCATAAGGATATACTTGAATTAGGAAAATATTTTTATCAAGAAAATAGGAACTCTACAAATGTAGCCCTTTGGGTAAATACAAGGCAGATTATCCTTGGACAGACTGCTAAAGTGAAATAAATATGATAAAATATCCTTCATCATATTAATACCATACTTATATACTACTGCCCTTAGATTATAAACAATAGCATACAATTATAAAACTTTTCTTAGTATTCATGAAAGTTTCTCTAAGTTTTTGGCTCTGTTTGATTTTCTTTACTAGGACTCAGGTAAAACCCAAAGCAAGATTTTTACTTATATAAAAAGGGGCCCATCATTGAAATAAGTAACAGTATAATCTAGAGATTTATAAACATCTATAATTACCAATATAAATATTAATTTATATTACATGCAGGCATCACAGAAGACAACAAAAAGATAACTGTAATGGAGATGGGGGGGGAAATACAAAAGCAAATCATTAGGGATTCAGGTCTCTTTTTCCCGATACAAAACCAAGTCTTCCACGTACTGTATGTAATTAGCTGTTAACATCTCAGAAACCAAGTATCTGTGCATCACCGGATATGGTACTCCCTGAAACACTTGGCATGGACGCCCTTCTGACATTTCTCACAGCGGGTGTTGGTCTGTGAGTGGCAGAGGGCACACCGGGTCCTCTTGTCCTGGTGGACTATCCAGTGCCCGATCATATCAAAGCGGCTCTCAGTTTCTAGCCGCCTGCTTCGCCTCCCTTGGGAGGACACGTCAGCGTTGCTCTCCAGGTACACACAGGCCACATACCTCCGGAAGGCCAGGAGGTCCACCTGGGCATCGTGGCTGCAGGTCCTGTGCAGCTGCCAGGCATTATTGAGGGCGGCATCGACGACGTAGCCAATGAAGCTGGAGTACCACTTCATGCCCCGGATCTTCACCTTGTACTTAGCCATGTTCTGGTCCATCCGACGGACACCGCCCCCCTTCTCCTGGTACAGCTTCACCAGGGATGGCTGATGGACCTGGGCCCGCGTCTTGGTGGTTCCAGAATGATGGCTGGCCAGCCCCACTGGCTCTATGCCCACAGCATTGGAGCAGATGGTGACCGCACTGCCGTCATACCAGCGGCACACAATAACCTCCTCACTCTCATCCACTTTATAGTCAAATGAGCCCCTCTTCATTTTCTTAAGCTCTTTGGGATCTTTGAGGGGACATCGCTCAGTCCTGTACTCACGAACAGTTCCTGTGGCCTTCACCCCCTTTTTCCTCAAAATGGACATGAGTTTGACACTCGTAAAAACCTTGTCAAAGAATATGTGGTATGGCAGACAGCCACGCTCCTGAAGCGCATCCACAAACTTGACTACCATACTGCCTCCTAGGTCCAGGCCCCCATGTGATTTGGTGAACAGCGTGCCCTGGGAGGGCTCAAACCACACCAGGTAGCCCCTGCTGGTTGTCCCACACCAGATCTTGTAGCCCAGCCGCATGGGCTTCCCTGCACGCAGCTGCTTGGATCCCCGGTGCCCAAAGTACTCACACATGGACTCACCGAAGCTGTAGAACTCTTCCAAGGGTGCGTGCTTCTGGAAATTGCAATTCATCCGGACAATGAGAGGCCTCACTTTGGCAAACCTATCACTTTCATCCAGCTCTGTGTTATCTGCGAAATGCAGGTACGAGAAGATCAGTTCAAATCTGTCCCTTCTAATTGCATCAGCCACAAGATGGTGATGTGAATCAGGGGATGTTTCCCAAAACATCCTTCTCCTTGGATAGGATATATACCCACTTAAAATCAAAATGCCCAAAACACACTTTAATTCCTGGGCTGTGAGCCCGAGGTTGACATTTTTCTGCCAGGCGTAACGATTGGTTTCATTAACTATGAAATTAATTGTTCCTCCATCAAAAAACAGCTCGAAGAGGCCTACAGGACTCAGTTCCTGGCTTTTGAGATCCTCTATATGAGGATCTGATGCAGTCCAACTGCTAAAGTTGGGTCGGATATCTCTTTTGGTCCAAATACGCTGAGGTTCCGTTACTGCCTTCTGCCTCTTCATGGCCGGCTGCAGCTGCAGCTCATCTTCCTCTTCCTCCTCGGTGCCAGAGTCCTCGGGCACCACAGAGGCGTGAAGGACACTGCCGGGCAGGTGGGAGCCTTGCCGGCCATCTTCATCACCTGAGTCCTCATCGGTGAAGTCCCCTGAGGCATTGTCGGGTGGCGCAATGAAGATCTCCTCCCTGCTGTGGCTGGACTCCTCCTCCTCCAGTGCATTCAGAACCTCCAGCAGCTTCGTAGACTTTGGCTTCGAACCGGCACCTCTCCCAACAATAAAGGTGCTGCAAAGACAGGAAGCAAAATGTGAAGAGGCCACACAGGGGACGGTGTGTCAGCAGAAAACTCTGTTAAAGGACTGCCTGCGAGGAGGCACTCCCACTGCAGAGCACCTGAGCCTAAACAGTGTGTCAGACACAGCACCGCCAGGCCCAGGGCCAGGTGAGGGAATTTGGCAGGCCAGCACAGATTGCTCTTTCAAAGTGCAAAAGTATTTTAAGGGGAGGCATTCTAAGGAGACATTCCATTCTTCTTTCCTTCTTAAAGTGTTTTGAATAGAGGATCACCTCTAGGGATAAATCCAGGTGCCACTGTCATCCCCCAGGTACCAGTAACCACTGCCAGGGAGCCTGGGCTGCTGAAGTCACACCCATGGATGTCCCCTGACTCAGTGGCCCCAGCAGCTCTACTTTCATCCCTCAGTCTTATCTGGGTCTTCCCTTTCCCTTATTAATTTATCAATTAGAAGTTTCCTCTTTCCCAAGTTCTCAAACTCTCCCTAGTTGAACTCTCACTACCCCAATTCAGGACCCGAACAGATTCAGACAGATTTTCAGATGGTTCCCTCAATATCAGACATCTTACTATATCCTAGCTACAAGTCAGAAGCCAAACAGACTCCAGAAACATGGAAACCCCTGCTATCCTAACTCTCCCTGTGCAGGGGGAACTAACTGGATGTCAGGAGACACTTGTATTTCATGAGCACCAACCACAAGGAGGCACTTCCCAGGGACTGGCAGTGGGCACACTCCACTCCTGACCTGCACAGCAACGGTTCTAACTGGAGGGAGAGGACAGTTCAAGAAACAAGCAGCTATGCAGGATGGCATCAGGCTGTGAAAGGCGCCATCCTGGATAAGGGACAGAGAATATGGTGAAAGAGTAGGACTGGAGTTGCTATTTTTACATGGATAATGAGTGAAGGCTCACAACGTGGGTGGCCTGAAAAAGAGAATAAGGCTAGAGACAGGGTGTCCCAGGCAGAGAGAAAGAACTGCAGGTACAAGGCCCTGAGCCTGAAGGGACTTGCTATCTGTAAACAGCAAGGAGGCTTTCGAGGTAATAAGAGGAGGAGAGCAGAGCCCAGGCCCCCAGGGCTCTAGAAGCCCTCGTCAGGACACTCAGTTGTGTTCGGCTGTCCCAGGAAGCCCTCTAGAGTGGATGGAACACGGCGCTGAGGCCTATCTGGTTGTGAGGATGGACAGGGTGGGGAAGGTGGGTATTCCAGCTGCCCTGTGCCACTCCAGCCCAACCTCCTCATGAGAAGAATTTCAAACCGGAGGGAGGACACAGGCTTTACCACAGAGCTGATTTCTCTGCAGACCTGCCCTTGGACTTTGGAGTCCAGACTGCATTATACACTCACTCCAACCTCACGTCCTGGACACTGACTCCATCAACCTCTGTGCCAGAAGCTAGGGCACAGGTCTGACCTCAGCAGAAGTAAGGTATTTCTCATGCTCTGTGTGGGCCAGGAAGGGAGAAAAAACTTGCAGCCTTTCCCATGGACCTCAGACTGGGTGGTTCGCAGGGGACAGTAGCCATCTTCACAAGTCCCCCAGCCTCTCCTGGTTTGTAGCAGCAGATCCGGGCTGGCACAGGCTCAGGCTGGCACACCAGTCTCACTACCTAAGCTGCTGTTTGCACCGCGGCCTCCAAACACCTTCTGTACATGGCTGTTCAGAGTCCTGGAGAAGGGTAGGAGGAGTTAAGATGAAGGAGGAGTAGGGGGACCCTATGCTTTCCTCGTGCCTCAAACGCAGCTTGATAAATAGCAAATCATTCTGAACACCCAGGAAATCAATCTGAGGACTGAAAGAGTAAAGTGCACACCTAGACAGAGAAAAGAGGCTACACTGTGGAAGGTAGGGGGTGTGGAGACAGGATTTGGGGGAGGAAAGAATCATGGGTGGTGGGGAGGGGAGGGAGCCCTGATCAGGGAGTGAGGAGAGAGAGCGAGAGTACGTGAGGGAGTACACGCAGAGGGCACTGCACAAGAAAAACACTTCCCCAAAACCACTAAGGGAAGGAAACAAGAGGGGCTGATTATAGCAAGCTCTTAGAAGCAGTAGAGCTCAAAGTCTGAAGTTCTGGAAGTGCACACCATCACCATGGGTGGAGCCTGGCCAGCACAGAGGTGCCCCTGTGGAGAAGGGGGGCAGAAGCCCAGGAGCAGACAGAGTGGTCTGAGGATCCCGTGGGTCCCACTGGGAGAGACAGATGCTCTTTTTGGAAAGGTGGCACTGCCCCTCCAGGGACAAAACAGCCAGCAGACACCACTGAGCTGCCCTGCCCATTACCGTAGGAGCGCAGGCAGCTGCTGAGTATAGCTAACCTGGACATCGGCTTCTGTGCTTTACCAGGAACCGCAAGCCCCCGTGTTCGGGTGACTGCCCTTCAGGGACAAGGCGGCACCAGCCACAGTGTGGCTAGACACTCCCCCAGAGGATTAGTGCAGGTCCATGATGCGCCAGATCCCTAAAATCTGCAGTTCTGAAACCCAGCCAGCATGCATGAGATAAAACAGGAGCACTGTGCCACTGGGTGGGCAGCTCGGACATGGGGTGAAGGTAGGGATCTGAGGGAAGCTGGGGACAAGTGAGGGGAGACAGCTCCCTCTTCTGTGAGGGCTTCCTGGATAGCAGTGGGCACGAACTCCCCTCTCCAGGGAACAGAGAGTGGGTGACGCCATTTTAATCCGCCTCCCCCACCCGCCCCAGTCAGCATTGACGGGCTCCAGTGAGCAGTACAGTGCACACAGTGGGGGCTTCAGACATTTACACCAAGCCCCACCCTCTTAAACTGTGCAGGTGCTTTTTCACTAGGGCAAGTGTGATGGAAAGCCAGAGTGGCAGTTGGGCCTCTCCCCCAGAAAACCAGCTCAAACTCCCCACACCCAAGTCTACCAACCATAGAGTGATACAAAAACCAGCTCTAGTAGATACTGAATCCAGCCTTTTTTTGTTTTTAAAGGTTTTGTTTATTTATTTGAGGGGGAGGGGAGCACAAGCAGGGGGAGGGGCAGAGGAAGAAACAAACTCCCCACCGAGCAGAGAGCCCAGTGCAGGGCTTGATCCCAGGACCCCAGGATCACGACCTAAGCTGAAGGCAGATGCTTAACTGACTGAGCCACCCAGGGGGCCCCTGGATCTAGCCTTTTTAACAAGGAGACTACAGCACACCTACTTAAGCCTCACCACATACTGCACAAGGGTCAAACACTCCTCACTGAAGGTAGGGTGAAACTCTGCAGAGGACCGACCTGAGGGAAAGAGCAGCCAAAACACAGCAGCAGAGTGCATACACCATACACCAGAAACAATTCCTGCAGTTCCAGGCCCTGGTCAGTATATGTCCTCCTCTTCTTCTTCTTCTTTTTTTTTTAATGGCCTCTTCTTAATAAGCTCATTACTCTCATGAGGAGGAAACATAAAGGCTTTCCTAACACATGGAAGGCAGAGACCTAGGCAAAATGCCAAGAGGGAAGAATTCATCCCAAAAGAAAGAACAAGAAAAGGTCCAAGCCAGGGATCTATTCAAAACAGATATAAGTAATATACCTGACCCAGATTTTAAAACAACAATCATAAGGATACTAACTGGGATTGAAAAAAGTATAGAAGACACCAGAGAGTCCCTTACCATGGGGATAAGACCTAAAAACTAGTCAGTGTGAAATAAAAAGTGCTATAACCAAGATGCAAAACCGATTGGATGTAATGACCACAAGGATGGAAAAAGCAGAAGAATAAATAAGTGATATAAAAAATAGAATTATGGAAAATAATGAAGCTGAAAAGAAGAGAGAAAGAAAAATATTAGATCACAAATGTAGACTTAGGGAACTCAGTGACATCATAAAGCATAACAACATTCATATCATAGGAGTCCCAGAAGAAGAAGAGAGAAATGGGGCAGAAGGTTTACTTAAGGAAATTATAGCTGAAAAACCTCCCTAATCTGGTGAAGGAAACAGACATCCAAATCCAAGAGGCAGAGAACTCTGACCAAAATCGACAAAAATAGGGCAACACCAAGACATACTGTAGTAAAATTTGCAAGATATAGAGATAAGGAAAACATGCTGATAACATCAAGGGAAAAGACATTGCTAAATTACAAGGGAAGACTAAGTTTAGCAGCAGATCTCTCCACAGAAACTTAACAGGCCAGAAGGGTGATGCATGATATATTCAACGTGTTGGATGGGAAAAATCTGCAGCCAAAAATACCTGATCCAGCAAGGCTGTCATTCAGAATAGGAGGAGAGATAAAGAGTTTCTTAGACAAACAAAAACTAAACGAGTTCATGACCACTAAATCAGCCCTGCAAGAAATTAAAGGGGACCCTTTGAGAGGGAAAGAAAGACCACAAGCCAACGAAGACAGGAAAGGAACAGAGAAAATCTACAGGAACAGTGACTTTACAAGTAACACAAACACAAATTCATATCTTTAATTCATATTAAAGAAGAAATAAAAAAAAAAACACATGGAAGCAAATGAAAATGAAAATAGGACAGGCCAAAATTTGTGGCATACAGCATAAGCAGTCCTGAGAGAGAAGTCTACTGCAACACAGGCCTACCTCAAGAAGCAAGGAAAGTCTCAAATATACAACCTAACCTTATACCTCAAGGAGCTAGAAAAGGAACAGTAAATAATGACTAAAGGAAGCAGAAGAAGGGAAATAATAAAGATTAGATACAAAAACAAAAAAGCCCAGAACAGATCAGTGAAACTAGGAGCTGGTTCTTTGAAAGAATTAATCCCCTAGCCAGACTTACGGGAAAAAAAAAAAGAGAGAGAGAGAGAGAGAAAGGACCCAAATAAATAAAATCACAAATGCAAGAGGAGAGATTGCAACCAATACCACAGAAGTACAAACAATTATGAGAATATTATGAAAACTAATATGCCAACAAATTGGGCAATCTGGAAGAAATGGATCAATTCCTAAAAACATATAAACTACCAAAAGTGAATCAGAAAGAAATAGAAAATGTGAACAGACCCATAACCAGCAAATAAATTAAATCAGTAATCAAAAATCTCCCAACAAATGAAAGTCAGGGCTAGATGGTTTCTCAGGGAAATTCTACCAAACATTTAAGGAAGAGTTAATACCTATTCTTCTCAAATTGTTCCAAAAAATAAAAATGGAAGAAAACCTTCCAAACTCATTCTATGAGGCCAGCATCACCTTGATTCCAAAACCAGAGAAAGATCCTGATGAGGCCAATACCCCTGATGAACATGGATGCAAAAATACTCAACAACATACTAGCAAATTAAATCCAACACTACACTAAAAGAATCATTCAGCACAATCAAATGAGATTTATTCTTGGGCTACAAGAATTGTTTGACATTTGCAAATCAATCAACATGATACACCACATTAATGAAAGAAAGGTAAGAACCATATGATCCTCTCAATAGATGCAGAAAAAGCATTTGACAAAGTACAACATCCGTTCTTGATAAAAACCTTCCACAAAGTTGGGATAGAGGGAACATACCTCAACATCCTAAAGGCCATGTATGAAAGACTCACTAATATCATCCTCAATGGGGACAAATAGAGCTTTTCCTCCAGGGTCAAGAACAAAATAGGGATTGTCCACTCTCACCACTGTTATTTAAAATAGTACCAGAAAGTCCTAGCCTCAGCAATCAGACAACAAAAAGAAACAAAACGCATTCAAATCCACAAAGAAGTCAAACTTTCACTATTTGCAGACAACATGATACTCTAGAGAACCCAAAAGACTCCAGCAAAAATTGCTAGAACTGATACACAAATTCAGTAAAGTTGCAGGATACAAAATCAATGTAGAAATCTCTTGCATTTCTATACACCAATAATGAAGCAGCAGAAAGAGAAATCAAGGCATTGATCCCATTTCCAATTGCACCAAAACAATCAGATACCTAGGAATAAACCTAACCAAAGAGGTAAAAGATCTGTACTCTGAAAACTATAGAACACTTATGAAAGAAATTGAGGAAGACACAAAGAAATGGGGAAACATTCCATGCTCATGGATTGAAAGAACAAATGGGAAAATGTCTACACTACCTAAAGCAAACTATATATTTAATGCAATCTCTATCAAAATACCAGAGGTATTTGCCACAGAGCTAGAACAAACAACAGTTAAATTTGTATGGAACCACAATAGATCCCGAATAACCAAAGCAATCTTGAAAAACAAAACCAAAGCTGGAGGCATCACAATTCTGGACTTTAAACTATATCACAAAACAGTAATCATCAAGACATTATGGTACTAGCACAAAAGCAGACACACAGATAAATGGAACAAAATAGAGAACCCAGAAATGGATGCAGCCCTATATGGTCAACTAATCTTCAACAAAGCAGGAAAGAATATCCAATGGGAAAAAGAAAGTCTCTTCAACAAATGGTGTTGGAAAATTGGACAGTCACATGGAGAAGAAACTGAACCACTTCCTTACATCATACACAAAAATAAACTCAAAATGGATAAAGAACCAAAATGTGACAGGAATCCATCAAAATCTTAGAGGAAAACACAGGCACCAACCTCTTTGAAGTTGCCTTACCAACTTCTTACTAGATATGTTGTTAGAGGCAAGGGAAAGAAGAGCAAAACTGTACTATTGAGACTTTTGCACAGTGAAGGAAACAATCCATAAAACTAAAAGGCAATCTACGGAATGGGAGAAGATATCTACAAATGACATATCTGATAAAGGGTTAGTATCCAAAATCTAAAAAGAACTTATTAAACTCAATACCCACAAACCAAATAATCCAATTAAGAAATGGGCAGAAGACATGAATAGACATTCTTCCAAAGAAGGCATCCAGATGGCTAACAGACACATGAAAAGATGCTCAACATCACTCATCATCAAGAAAATACAATTCAAAATCAGGATGAGATACTACCTCACACCTGTCAGAATGGCTAAAATTAACAACACCAGGAACAACAGATGTTGGCAAGGATGCAGAGAAAGGGAAGCCCTCCTAAACTGTTGGTGGGACTGCAAACTGGTGTAGTCACTCTGGAAAACAGTATGGAGGTTCCTCAAATAGTAAAAATAGTAATACCCTATGATCCAGCAATTGCACTACTAGGTATTTACCCAAAGGATACAAAAATACTGATTTGAAGGGGCACATGCACCCCAATGTTTATAGCAGCACTATCAACAATAGCAAAACTATGAAAGGAGTCCAAATGCCCACAGAATGACAGATCCATAAAGAAGATGCGGTGAATGCAATGGAATTTTACTCAGCCATCAAAAAGAATGATATCTTCTCATTTGCATTGATGTGAATGGAACTAGAGGGTATTATGTATGCTAAGCAAAGTAAGTCAGTCAGAGAAAGACAAATACCATATGATTTCACTCATATATGGATTTTAAGAGAAAAAAAAGAAACAGATGAATACAGGGGAAGGAACTAAAAAAAGGGGGGGGGAGGTATACCACAAGAGATTCTTTATTATAGAGAACAAACAGGGTTGCTGGAGGGGAGGTGGGCAGGGGACGGGCTAAATAGGTAATGGGTATTAAGGAGGGTACTTGTTGTGATGAGCACTGGGTGTTATAGGTTAAGTGATGAATCACTAAATTCTAGTCCTGAACCAATATTACAGTATATGTTAACTAACTAGAATTTAAATAAAAACTTGAAAAAAAAAAGACTCATTGAGTGGCAAAGCTTGCAGGGACTAAGGCAGCCCAACAGCAACCGTCTTGTGCATTAAAAGATGAGGAAGGGGAGCCTGGGTGGCGCAGTCAGTTAAGTGACCAACTGTTGGTTTTAGCTTGGGTCCTGATCTCAGGGTCATTGAGATTGGGCCCCACATCAGGCTCTGTGCTCAGCCTGGAGTGTGCTCTCCTTCTCTCTCTGTCCCTCCCACTTGTGCTCTCTCTCTCTCTCAATAAATAAATAAATCTTTAAAAAAAAAAAAAGATGAGGAAAGTACATCACATTTTTAAATACAGTGTAGACACTGGAGCTACAGAACCACACCCATACCACATACACTACCTTGCCTGCCTCATCTTTTCTCCAATCTCTCTTTTCTCCTCTTCTTCCTTTTTCCTTCCTAGACACCAAATGCTTAGTGAGGCCAGCAGGACTAAGGGCTAAAAATGTCATGGGCTTGGCCTTTCAAAAAGAGAGGAGTAATTACTTGCATAAAGCCTTTCTTCAAACACACTTACCTTGAAGTTGAAGCCATGATGAACTGGGAACATAGAGTTGTCTATATGTGCAGAGTCAAAGAATCTGTAAGACAATATAAGTTTATTTTTAAAAAAACTGTATCTTAATTAGCAAGGCAATAGGACCTTCTCTACCATTTAAGGGAAAAGACATCTCTAGCTTAAGGTTCACCAGCAACCAGAAGGGGATGGATTGAGTACACACAGAAGATAGTGTCTAGTCAACTGGCTAATCAGAGGGAAAAACAATGAGCTCTCTACCTCACACCAAAATATATTGTAGGGCAAAGTTTTTCACCATCAGAGCTATTGGCATGTGGGCTGGATGAGCCTTTGCTGTGTGGGGCTGTCCTGTGTATTATGGAATGTTAGCTTTCCAGGCCTCTACCCACTAGATACCAGTAGAACATCGATCCCCTAATTGTGGAAATCAAAAATGTTTCTAGACATTGCCATGTGGCCCATGGGGGACAAAACTGCACCCGGTTGACCCAATAGAACCTATTGTAATAATTTAAGTATTTTCTAACAATGCTGCCCAATATGGTAGCCATGAGCCACATGTGGTTATTAAACATCTGATATATATGGCTAGCATGCCTGAGAAAGTGAGTTTTTAATTTTATGTAATTTTAATGAAAATAGTCACATGTGCTTGGCCAGTGGCCACTGTATTAGACAGTGAAGTCTTAGATGTTTAAAGAACTAACTAACTATGAAACAACATTCTCTTAACAACCAGTGGATCAAAGAAAAAATTAAAGGGGAAATTAAAAAGTATCTTGAGGGGCGCCTGGGTGGCTCAGTTGGCTAAGCATTCAACTCCTGATTTTGACTCAGGTCATGATCTCAGAATCGTGAGACTGAGCCCCACGTCAGGCTCTGCACTGAGTATGGAGCCTGCTTAAGATTCTCTCTCTCCCTTTCCCTCTGCACCCCCCAACTAGTGTGCTCTCTTTCTCAAATAAATAATAGTATCTTGAAACAAATGAAAAAAGAAACACAACATACCAAAACATTTAAGTTGCAGCAAAAGATTTCTAGGAGAGACACTTAATGCTATAAACACATATGTAAAGAAAACAGAATGATCTGAAATAAAAAACTTAACTTTACACCTCAAGGAACTATAAAAAGAATAGATGAATGGATAAAGAAGTGATATATATATATATATGTACACACACACACACACACACACAATGTCAGCCATAAAAAAAGAATGAAATCTTGCCATTTACAACAACATGGATGGAGCTAGAGTATAATGCTAAGTGAAATAAGTGAGTCAGAGAAAGACAAATACTATATGATTTCATTCATATGTGTAATTTAAGAAACAAAAAATGAGCAAAGGAAGAAAAAGAGAGAGAGAAACCAAGAAATGACTCTTAACTACAGAGAACAAACTGATGGCTACCAGAAGGGAGGTGGGTGGGAGGATGGGTAAAATAGGTGATGGGGATTAAGGACGGCAGGCCACTTATGATGAGCACAGGGTGATGTATGAAGTACTGAATCACTATATTGTACACCCTGAAACTAATATAACACTGTATATTAACTATACTGGAATTTAAAATTAAATTAAAATTTTTAAAAAAGAATAACCTAAGCCCAAAGTTAGCAGCAGAAAGGAAATAGAAGACTGGAGCAAAAATAACAGAGAACAGAAAAATAAGAGGCAAGATTGACAAAACTATGAATTAGTTTTTTGAAAAGATGAACAAAACTGACAAATTTCTAGCTACAGTATCCAAGAAATAGAGAACCCAAATCAACAAAATTATAAATGAAAGAGGAGAAACTATAACTGATACCACAGAAACAAAAGATCATAGAGGCTACTATGAATGATTACTGATTATATGCCAACAAACCGGACAACCTAGAAAAAGTTGATAAACTCTCAGAAACACACAATCTACCAAGACTGAACCAGGAGAAACAGAAAATTTGAACAGTCCAATTACTAGCAGAAAGACTGAATCAGTAATGCAAACTCTCCCAACCAAAAAACAAACGAGAAAACAAAAATGAAAAGCAAAATCCCAACACCAAATGCACTCACTGGTGAATTTTACCAAACATTTAAAGAACAATTAGGGGCACCTGGGTGGCTCAGTTGGTTAAGCAACTGCCTTCGGCTCAGGTCATGATCCTGGAGTCCCGGGATCGAGGCCCACATCGGGCTCCCTGCTCAGCAGTGAGTCTGCTTCTCCCTCGGATCCGCCCCCCTCTCATGCTCTACCTCATTCTCTCTCTCAAATAAATAAATAAAATCTTTAAAAAGAAAGAAAGAACAATTAATGCCAGTTCTCAAACTCATCCAAAAAAAAAAAACCCACAAAGAGAAGGAACACCTCAAACTCCTAAGATGGCATTACTCCAATACCAAAGCCTGATAAGGATATTACAAGAAAAGAATGGAATGTGAGGATGGTTCAAAAGACAAATATAGAGGAGGTGATGTCAGCAGATGGTGGACTACTAAGCTCCAGGCCTTCATTCCCCCATGGAAATGCAAGTTAACAACAATATATGAACCTGAACACCTTTGTGAGAACTCTAGAGAACACTTGAAATGGTGTAGGACCCAGGCCAACAGAAAAATAAGATGGGATTCCACTGAAAAGGGTAGAAAAGTTCATGGCATTTTGTGCAGAGACGGCTCTCTCCCTAGTCAGATCAGTAAGGTACAACTAGGGTAAATACAGTGACTCCTCCCTTGGGATGGGAAATCAGAGTAGACTATGAGTCCAACATTCTGGCTTGTCTGGGGGCTGCCTGAGGGATAGATTTCTGTGTCATCAGACGTGGAGCACTGATGGGAATGGCAGCAGTTTGGAGGTTACTGAAAATGTAGGCAGGTGTCACAGTACACCAGAACTGCAGAAATTCTTGTTTTACGTGAAGATGCCAGGGAGAGATAAAAATTATACACTTCTGAGAAGAAATTCAGGACAAGCTGCTCATGGAAATTGAGACAATTAAAAGTACACACTCAAGTCCAGAGACTGTATCACCAGAAAATGTTGGTGAGGTTCCAAACTTCTAGGTGGGCTGACTGGCGAAGTATTCCCCGGAACAAAGCCAGTCCATAAAGACTGAGAGAGGAGGCTGTTTTTTGTTTTGTTTTGTTTTGTTTGAACGGCCAAATCTCAACAACAGATCACGAGCATACAAAGAAACTGGGAAACATGGTCCAATGACAGAAACAAAATAAAACTCCAGAAATGGGTCCTAAAGAAAGGCAGACTGCTGAATTTCTTGGTGAAGAATTCAAAACAATTTGTTAAAGATATTCAATGAGCTAAAAGAGAACACAGAGAGACACAAAATCAGGAAATGAATGAACAAAATAAGAATATTGACAAAAAGATAGAAACCATAAAAAAGAAGCAAACAATTTCGGGAGCTGAAAAATACAATAATGGAGCCAAAGATACTAGAAGAAAACTAAAGACCAATATTGATGAATACTGATCCTCAAGAAAATATTATTAGCAAAGTAAATTCAATAGTACATTGAAAGGATTATATACCACAACAAAGTGGGATTTATTTCTGGAATGGAAGGATAGCTCAACATGAGAAAAAAAATCAATGTAATATACCATATGAAGAGAATGAAAGGCAAAAACCCATATGTTCACATCAAATAATGCAGAAAAAACATTTAACAAGATTCAACACTTTTATGATAAAAAAAATCTCAATAAACTACAAATAAAAGGAAACAACTCAACATAATAGACCAAATATGAAAAAAAATCTTCCATGATAAAAAATCTTAATAAACTATGAATAAAAGGAAACCAACTCAACATAATAAAGACCAGATATGAAAAAAAAAATCACAGCTAATATACAAAACAGTGAAAGACTGAAAGCTTTTCCTCTAGAAACAGGATCAAGATAAAGTTGCTTCTTCTGGTCTTTCTATTAAACATAGTACCAGAAGTCTTAGCCAGAGCAATTAGGCAAGAAAAAGAAATAAAAGGCATCCAAACTGGAAAGAAAGAAGTAGAATTATCTGTTTGCAGATAGCATGATCTTATATAGAAAGCCTAAAGATTAAAAAAAAAGAATAAACAAGTTCAGCAAAGTTGCAGAAATAAAAATCAACACATCAAAAATCAGTTGCATTTCTATACATAAACAATTTGAAGTGGAAATTAGGAACACAACTCCATTTACCACAGCATTGAAAAGAATAAATATTTAGGAAGAATCCTAACCAAAGAGGTGAAAGAATTTTATACTGAAAATGACAAAACATAAAGTAATTTTTTAAAAAACACACACAAAAAATAGATATCTTGTGTTCATGGGTTGGTAGACTTAATACTGCTAAAATGTCGATACTACCCAAAGTAATCTATGGATTCAATGCAATCTCTATCAAAATCCCAACAGCATGTTTTTTCTTGCAGAAATAGAAAATCCATCCTAAAATCATTTGGTATCAAAATACCCCAAATAGCCAAAATAATTTTGGAAAGGAAGAACGAAGTTGGAGAATTCAACTTTGAAATTTCCTCATTTCAATAGATATTACAAAGCTAAAGAAATAGAAACAGTGTGGCACTGGTATAAAGACAGATAGAGAGACCAGTGAATTACAACAGAGCCAGAAATAAACCTTCATGTATATGGTCAGATAATCTTCAAAATGGATGTAAAAACTACTCAATAGGGAAAGGACAGTCTCTTTAACAAATGGTGTTGAAAAAACTGGGTATCTACATGCAAAAGAATAAAGGTGGGCTCTTACCTTACATCATATACAAAAATCAACTCAAAATGTATCAAAGACCTAAACATAAGAGTTAAAATTATAAAATTCTTCAAAGAAAACATAGGGAAAAGATTCACAATATTGGATCTTTCTTTATTTCTCTCCTTCCTCCCTCCCTCTCTCCCTTTCTTTTTTAAATAGGCTCCATACCCAGTGTGCAGCCCAATGCGGGGCCTGAACTCATGACCCTGAGATCAAGATCTAAGCTGAGATCAA